TTAGTGGAGAGGAGGATCAGTACCTGTGTGTTCCGCCTGACCCAGGCATCCGCACGAGTGAGGGTGCCGCCCTAGGTGCTTGCGTGTCTGCTGCTTCAGGTGCTGGTGAGGCTGCTGCTCTAGGTGCTTGTGTGTCCGCCACCCCAGGTACTACTGAGTCCACTGAGGCACTGCACACCTTCACTCTAGACTCAGGCGCTTCGCGCTGTTTCTTTCGTGACCGCACTGCTCTTGAGCCCCTTGCTCGACCAGTCGCTGTCTCCCTCGCTGACCCCTCTGGGGGTCCGGTCATTGCGACCTCCTCCACTGTCCTTCCTTGTCCTGCGGTCCCGTTGGGCACACTGTCACGTCTCCACCTCCCCTCGTTCTCTACGAACTTGGTGGCGGGTTGTGCGCTCCAGGATGGGGGTGTTCACCAGTTCACCCCTGCCTACGAGCGCGTGACACACTGCACGTGTGCTCGGACTGGCCGTCACCTGGCTACCTTCACTCGGCAGCCGGGGTCGGACCTGTACACACTGACCACTGAGTCCCCTCAGGTAGCGGCGTCTGCGTCTGCGTCTGCGTCCGGTCAGCTGTCTGCCCCCTACTCGTGTCGCTCTCTAGCACACAAGACTGTCCTCTTGCACCACCGACTTGGTCACCCGTCAGTGTAGCGCCTTCGGGGCATGCACTCCCGGTACCTTGTCTCTGGTCTTCCTCGGGTACTCCCACCCCTCCCGCCCTCCCTTGCTCCTCCTTGTCTTCCCTGTGTCGAGGGGCGGCAGCGCGCTGCTCCTCACTCCTCCTCGTTTCCCCCGACGACTGCTCCTTTGCAGACGCTCCACATGGACGTGTGGGGCCCAGCCCGCGTCCGTGGTCAGGGTCAGGAGAGGTACTTCCTGATTGTTGTTGACGACTACTCGCGCTACACCACGGTCTTCCCCTTGCGCACCAAGGGTGAGGTCCCTGATGTTCTGATCCCCTGGATCCGCAGAGCCACTCTCCAGCTCAGGAAGCGCTTCCGCTCGGACTTTCCTGTCCTGCGCCTGCACTCTTACAGAGGTGGTGAGTTCTCCTCCGACCTCTTGGCAGCCAACTGTGCTGAGCACGGCATTGAGCAGTCGTTCACGCTTCCGGCCTCTCCACAGTAGAATGGGGTTGCTGAGCGCCGCATTGGCTTGGTCATGGAGGTCGCTCGTACCTCCTTGGTCCACGCGGCTGCCCCCCACTTTCTGTGGCCGTTTGCGGTCCGGTACGCTGCGCATCAGCTCAACCTCTGGCCCCGTGTCTCCGCTCCGGAGACCTCGCCCACACTGCTGTGGACGGGGGAGGTTGGCGATGCGTCACGCTTCCGTGTCTGGGGATCCCGAGCCTTTGTTCGCGACACGTCCGCGGACAAGCTCTCCCGTCGCGCTGTTCCCTGTGTCTTTCTTGGCTTTGTCCCAGACGCGTCTGGTTGGCAGTTTTACCACGCCACCTCGCGCCGGGTTCTGGCCTCTCAGGACGTCACTTTTGACGAGTCAGTCCCCTTCTACCGCCTCTTCCCCTACCGCACTGCCCCGCACCCTCCCCCGCCTCTCTTCCTCGCGCCAGGTGCTGCAGTGGTAGACCCCCTCCCCCCTCAGGGTGCCGCTCCCTCAGGTGTCTCCCAGGTAGACCCGGTTGAGCCTGCCGAGGTAGCTGTCGACTCGCGTCCTGCTAGGGGTGCTGAGCCTGAGCATGCGGAGCCTGAGCGTGCGGAGCCTGAGCGTGCGGAGCCTGAGCGTGTGGAGCCTGGGGGTGCTGAGTCTGGGGGTGCTGAGACTGGGGGTGCTGAGCCTGGGGGTACTGAGTCTGGGGGTGCTGAGCCTGGCGTTGCTGAGTCTGGGGGTGCTGAGCCTGGAGTTGCTGAATCTGGGGGTGCTGCAGCTGACTGTGAGGCGCCTGGAGGACCTCCCTCTTCGCAGCAGCTACGTGAGTGGTACTCGCGGTACTGCAGCCTCCGGCGGGGTGCGTCTCGGGCTCGCGGTGCTACTGGAGTTGGTACTCGCGTTGGTACTCGGGAGCCGCCCTCTTCCCCACAGCTTCGGGAGTGGTACGCTCGGCACATCAGTCTCCGGAGTGGAGCTGCTGGTGCTGGGGTCCCCGGAGTTGACGCTGCTACTGGTGCTGCTGGGGGTGCTGCGGGTGCTGCGGGTGCTGCGGACCCTGGTGCTGGAGGTGCTGCTCGTGCTGAGGACCCGGGCGTTGGAGCTGCTGCGGGTGCTGAGGACCCTGGTACTGGAGGTGCTGCTGCTGCTGGAGGTACTGCTGGTGCGGAGGACCCGGGCGTTGGAGCTGCTGCGGGTGCTGCGGACCCTGGTGCTGGAGGTGCTGCTGGTGCTGCGGACCCGGGCGTTGGAGCTGCTGGCGGTGCTACTGGTGCTACTGGAGGTGCTGCTGCTGGAGTGGAGGACCCGGAGGTTGGAGCTTCTGCTGGTACTGAGGACCCTGCCGCTGGTGTCTCTACTGGTTCGGGAGTTGCTGCACGGCCACGGCCGTACTTCGTTCCAGTCCTTCAGCAGGTTCTTGGTCAGCCTCCTCCTCCTTGTCCTCCTCTCGCCTTAGAGTGTCCGCCATCTGTCCAGTCACAGCCCCAGTTACCGCCTGCCTCCCCTCTCCCTGTGCCTGCTCCTTACACTGGTCCGACTAGAGGTCTTGCTGAGCGGCGTGAGCCTGCGTCACGTCCTGTGTCGCCTGCGTCTCATTGAGCGTCGCCTGTTTGTGCTGCTACCACTGGTCGTCGTGTCCAGCGTCAGCGTCCTCCTGCTGTCCCAGGCACTCACCAGATGGCACTTCGTCAGTCCACTGCTCCGCAGCGTGTCTCTCTCCCGTCGCCTCCTTCGTCCTCTCTTCCTGCTCTTGCTGACCCGGAGTCAGACTCCCTTCGCGCTGCCAGTCCTACTGTCACACGTCTCCTGGCTACGGTTGTCACTGACCCTTCCTTTGAGTCCGCTAATGCGTCTGCCTTAGTTGCTGAGCTGGTCGACTTTGCTGCCGCGTGTCGTCTAGACTACGCCGCCAGTCTTGTTGCTGAGTCTGAGTCTGTCTGTCCTCCGTCCGTCGGGGGTGAGTGTGCCCTTGGCACTGACGTCCTTGAGGACAGGCAGGAGGAGTTTGGTTGCCTTGCCGCTGCTTTGCCCCATCTCGTGTCCATGCTTGTTGCTCCTGAGGGAGACCCGGATGCACCAGACATCCCGACCCCACGCTCTTACGCAGAGGCAATGGCCGGTCCCTACTCCTCTCAGTGGCAGACAGCCATGGACGCAGAGATGGCTTCCTGGAAGTCTACAGGCACCTACGTCGACGAGGTTCCCCCACCTGGGGCGAACATCGTCAGTGGCATGTGGATCGTCAGGGTGAAGCGGCCGCCGGGCTCTCCGCCTGTCTTCAAGGCGCGTTACGTTGCACGAGGCTTCAGTCAGCGAGAGGGAGTTGACTTCTTTCAGACCTTCTCCCCCACCCCGAAGATGACTACTCTTCGGGTTCTGCTGCACGTCGCCGCTCAGCGTGACTACGAGCTCCACTCCCTTGACTTCAGCACTGCTTTCTTGCTGGGCAGCCTGCACGAGGAGATCTGGCTGCGCCGCCCTCCTGGCTTCACTGGGTCGTTCCCTCCTGGTACCCAGTGGAGCCTCCGGCGGCCAGTCTACGGTCTCCGCCAGGCGCCGCGTGAGTGGCACGACACACTGAGGACTACACTTGCGGCTCTTGGGTTTGCTCCTTCTACTGCTGACCCGTCGCTGTTTCTACGCACCGACACCTCGCTGCCGCCGTTCTACATCCTCGTGTACGTCGACGACTTGGTCTTTGCCACTGCTGACACTGCTGGTCTCGCCCACGTGAAGTCGGAGCTGCAGAAGAGACACACGTGCACAGACCTGGGTGAACTGACAAGCTACCTTGGCTTGCGGATCACCCGGGACAGAGCACGCCGCACCATCACCTTGACTCAGTCACACATGGTGCAGCAGGTCCTTCAGCGCTTCCGCTTCACGTACTCCTCGCCTCAGCCCACTCCTCTGCCTACCGGTCACTCGCTTTCAGCTCTGCTTTCGGATGAGTCCGTAGAGCCGAGTGGCCCGTATCCAGAGCTTGTGGGCTGCCTCATGTACCTGATGACCTGCTCTCGACCTGACCTTGCATACCCTCTCAGCATCTTAGCATGCTATGTCGCTCCCGGCCGTCACCGGAAGGAGCACATGGATGCAGCTATGAGGGTGTTGCGCTACTTGTGCAGTACGTCGTGCATGGGGCTAGTGCTTGGAGGGCGAGACCAGCCTGTTCTCACTGGGCACTCAGACGCTTCTTGGGCAGACGACCAGGCTACTCAGCGGTCGTCTCAGGGTTACACCTTCAGTCTTGGCTCTGGCTCTGTCTCTTGGCGTTCTACTCGCTTTTCTTCTGTTCTCAGCTCCAGCTGTGAGGCTGAGATCTACGCCACGGCCATGGCTGCCGAGGAGCTTCGCTGGCTCACCTACCTGCTGACTGACCTTGGAGAGCAGCCTCGTTCTCCTCCAGTGCTGTACGTCGACAACAAGGCCACCATTGCCTTGTGTCAGGAGCACAGACTGGAGCACAGGACGAAGCACATTGCTCTGCGCTACTTTCTAGCTCGAGAGCTACAGCAGTGTGGTCAGCTTCGTCTGCGTTACGTGGCCACTGAGGCCAACACTGCTGATGTGTTCACCAAGGCGCTTCCGCCTGTTGACCATCAGCGCTTTTGCACTCTTCTAGACCTTGTGCTGACTGGTCCTCACTTGCTCTCTTCTTGACTCTGTTTGTACTGTGATCACTATATATATATACCTGCATGTTTGCCCTTGCTAGGTTGTGATCATTGTACCTCTTGCTCTATTATAAATCTGCATGTGAACTGGTCTTGTGACCACTTGCTTGTGCTCGGAATTTGTGTGGAATCCTCGAGATCCACCCTGAGCTTGTTTGCCTTGCTTTGCCCTGATTGGTCTTGTGACCCCTAGGTCTCCCCCACTTTGCCTATGGGGGTGTGTCAAACATTATATGTTTGTGTGGTTCTAGGCTGTAGTGGGTTACACCATAAGGGGTACACCAGATTAGGGTTTCACATTTGTACTGTTGTTCCTCTTAGTCACACCATTCTCGTTTCTCATTCTGACAAGTTGACGCTTTTATATCTCCCCATTCTCCCGCTTACCATCACCCCGCCCCATTCTCCCGCTTTCAATCACCCCGCTCCATTCTCCTGCTTTCCATCACCCCGCCCAATTCTCCCTCTTTCCATCACCCCTCCCCAATCTCCCTCTTTCCATCACCCAGCCCCATTCTCCCGCTTTCCATCACCCCGCCCCAGTCTCCCTCTTTCCATCACCCCACCCCATTCTCCCTCTTTCCATCACCCCGCCCCATTCTCTCGCTTTCCATCACCCCGCCCCATTCTCCCGCTTTCCATCAACCCGCCCCATTCTCCCTCTTTCCATCTCCCCGCCCCATTCTCCCGCTTTCCATCACCCCGCCCCATTCTCCCGCTTTCCATCACCCCGCTCCATTCTCCCGCTTTCCATCACCCCGCCCAATTCTCCCTCTTTCCATCACCCCTCCCCATTCTCCCTCTTTCCATCACCCCGCCCCATTCACCCTCTTTCCATCACCCCGCCCCATTCTCCCTCTTTCCATCACCCCGCCCATTCCCCCTCTTTCCATCACCCCGCCCCATTCTCCCTGTTTCCATCACCCTGCCCCATTCTCCCTGTTTCCATCACCCCGCCCCATTCTCCCGCATTCCATCACCCCGCCCCATTCTCCCGCTTCCCATCACCCAGGCCCATTCTCCCTCTTTCCATCACCCCACCCCATTCTCCCGCTTTCCATCACCCCGCCCCATTCTCCCTCTTTCCACCACCCTGCCCCATTCTCCCTGTTTCCATCACCCCTCCCCATTCTCCCTCTTTCCATAACCCCGCCCCATTCTCCCGCTTTCCATCAGCCCGCCCCATTCTCCCGCTTTCCATCACCCCACCCCATTCTCCCGCTTTCCATCACCCCGCCCCATTCTCCCGCTTTCAATCACCCCGCCCTAGTCTCCCGCTCTCAATCACCCCGCCCCATTCTCCCGTTTTCCATCACCCCTCCCCATTCTCCCTCTTTAAATCACCCCGCTCCATTCTCCCTCTATCCATCACCCTGCCCCATTCTCCCGCTTTCCATCACCCCGTCCCATTTTTCCGCTTTCCATCACTCCGCCCCATTCTCTTTCTTTCCATCACCTCGCCCCATTCTCCCGCTTTCCATCACCCCGCCCCATTCTCCCGCTTTCCATCACCCCGCCCCATTCTCCCGCTTTCCATCACCCTGCCCCATTCTCCCGCTTTCCATCACCCCGCCCCATTCTCCCTCTTTCCATCACCCCACCCCATTCTCCCGCTTTCCATCACCCCGCTCCATTCTCCCGCTTTCCATCACCCTGCCCAATTCTCCCTCCTTCCTGTCAACGGGAGTTGGGTGTTGGCCCCATCCTCGCTTGGGCGGAGCCGACTTCGTGGTCGGGTGTGAGGGGAGCAGCCGACCTGCAGCAGTGGGCGAGCTGGTTGACGAGGGCCACTGCACGGGCACCGACTTCGGGGTGGCGCCGACTTTGGGGAAGCCGACTTTGGTGGTCGGCTGACGGACTGCTAGTCGACCTGGTGGTTGGTCGACCAGGCCTGCTGGTCGACCAGCTGGTGGTCGACTGGACCTGGTGGTCGACGAAGGAGGGGCCGACGTCGACCTCAACACAGGACGCCGGGCAATTGGGCGTCGAGTAGCGGGGCGTCAACTTCGGGACGCCGACTTCGGGTGGCCGACGTGGGTGGTCGGCCGACAACTGCGCTGGTCGACGAGGAGCTGGTCGACCAGGAGTGACGTCGACCTGGAGGGGGTCGTCCGAGGGTGTTGTCGGCCTGGTGAGGTCGACTGGAGGTGGCCGTCAACTTGGGAGGTCGACGGGCACGTACGGGAGCTGCTGGTCGACGTGGTTGCCCGGTCGACCAGGTTACCTGGGCTACGAAGTGCTGCGGAGGAGTGCGACGGTCGCCTAGGCGAAGTTGGCGAGCCCGACCTCAGGGGTGGTATCCCGAGGTCGTCGTGGCGGATCAGAAGCAGTCGTCAGCGAGAGGTTGACGTGGTGTGTGCGCTGTGCAGGTGACGAGGCTTTGCACGCCAATCATCTGCGCGCACCTGCGAAGCGGGTGCACTGCTGTTCTGCGTGAGCAACGCTGGCACGCCGTCAACCTGCGACGTTGGCACGCTGTCGACCTTGCACTGCTGGAGCGCGGTCGACCAAGTCGTGCTGGATCACGGTCGACCAAGCTGTGCTGGCAGTTGGCTGACCTGAATGCTAGCTCTGATGTTGTCTTGCATTGCCAACTTCATTGTATTATTGTTGTCAACCTTTCTCTAGTGAAACTCTTGCCAAATTGCCTTGTGAACTAGCAAGCAGTGTGAGCACTAGGAAACCGACTAAGGACCAAGGAACGCAGAGATCACACGAGCACCCGTGCCTAGCCCGTAGTCTAGCTCTCGTTGCAGTAGTTATCTCCGCATGGTGCGGTGAGTGTGGAAGGCACACGACTTACCTTTTAGTCAGGTCGACGTAGAGGCTACTTACCTAAGTTGACGTAGGCCAGCAGCCGTGCAGTCTCTAGCTTGCGCGTAGGTGACGCCAAGGCGATGGAGACCCTGGAAGCACAGCTGGAGGACGCGAGGATACGTCATATGGGACGATTCCCTGGGCGGTTGTGGAGGCTGGCATTCGCACGATGTGGGCGACCCTGCACCCTTCTCGACCGGCTTCTCCTCGCCCGGTGACCAACGAAGGCGGCGTCGACGTGGGCGTCAACGCCGGAGGTGGCCAAGTCGGCAGCAGTGCGGGAGGCACGTCGAGGCAGAGAGGTGTGATATACGCCGACGAGGTCGGCAGCGTTCAGGCGCGAGGGAGGCAGTCGTCGGCGGCTGCAGGGGCCTCGCAGGGCGACGTCGGAGGACGAGGAAGCGGATTGTCGCCAATGTCGGCGAGCCAGGTGAAGGCGGCTGGGATAGCACCAAGCTACGGCTACTTCAAGTTTTCGCCGGACAGGACCTTGGTCACCCCGCCGCTCGTTGGTCGACAGGACATCCTCACCTGGAAGGAAGGTATCGAGCCCCAACTGGAGACGGCTGGGCTGATCAACTTCGCTCGAGGTTCCGTGGAGACGCCGAACGACCCCGACCTGCGTGCGGAGTTTCGCGCTGTGCAGCTGTTGACCTTCATGGTCATCTCGCGGTGCTGCTCGGCGGGCGTGTAGATCGCCTTGAAGTGGTGTCGGGAGTATGTCGACGCCGGCCACCAGGCGTGGCACTTCATTGAGTCGACTTACCAGGTCACCGACGACCTGTTCATCTCCCAGCTGGAGGGGCAGCTGACGCACCTACGCATGGGTGACGAGGAGACGGCGACCGACTACTGCAACCGAGCCCGAGCCCGGCGCGCAGTACTCCACGACGTCGTACGTTACCCACGTGATGCAGGGGTTGTCGAGCAACTACAACCTCCTGAAGAGGCTGTCGATGGCGCCGGACACGAGGACGTCGCTCAACGAGGACAACCTGACCTCGTACATCCTGCAGGACGAGGCGATGCAGGAGGCTGAGCGATCGCAGGAGCTCTTGGCGCAGGCCAACTTCGTCGCCCCGGCGAAGCAAGGAGGTCGACCGGGTCAGCGCGGACAGTCTGGTGGCGGCGGGAGCAGTGACTGGAAGTCGACCAAGGAGGTCGACAAGAAGCCGACCAAGGACGGCGGTCGAGGAGGAGGAGGTCGACGTCGGAAGTGCTGGATCTGCCACAGCCCCGACCACCTCTCATTCGAGTGTCCCGACCGCAGTGACTCCGACGACGACGACAAGGGCGGCCGCGGGAGGTCGAGCAGTTGTTGTCCTCGTCGAGGAGGAAAACAGCCGCGCAAGGAGAAGCAGTCGACCAAGACGTCGACTTCGGCGAAGGACGCCGACTCCTCTGCTGGCGGCAAGGCGCGGGACGACAAGACGGCGTCGTGCTCGCTGGTCGGCGTCGTGGAGCCGACCGTCTCCCTGGCGCCGGAGGCTGTGGAGGACTTCCAGGCGGTGGCGGCAGCTGTGCAGGCGAACCCGGAGGTGGTCCTACTCGACAGCGGCTGCTCCCACCACCTGATGGGGACGAAGGAGGTCTTCGTCAACCTGCAGCTGAGCGACTCCATCAAGCATGTGCGCGGCTTCAATGGGGCGCTGCAGGACGTCCAGGGCCGTGGCACTGTCGCCCTGCAAGGAGAAGCCGGGAAGTAGGTGCTCATCCCCGACGTGCTGATCGTCCCGGGTGTGCGGGCGAACCTGCTGTCGGCCGGCCAGCTGAAGGAGCACGGCGTGAAGCTGCAGGAGGACGGAGACGGCATGCTGCTCGTCTCGGCGGCTGGGGAGGTGCTTGGTCAGGCGACGTACTCCGGGCGAGTTCTCTGCACCGACCTGCGTCCCTGCACCACGACGTCTACGTCGCCCACACCGGAGGTTGTGGCTCTGCTGGCGATCATCTCGAAGACGAAGTCGACGCCGGACCGGATGCACGCGAGGCTGGCGCACGTCGGCATGGACACCATCAGGAGCTCGGCGAAGCACGGGGTCGCCATTGGGCTGGACCTCAAGTCGGCGACGGGCGCCGACTCTCCGTATGTCTCGTGCGTCGGCGGGAAGCTGGCGCGGCACACCTTCCCCGACCAAGGCTCCGACGCCGACGACGTGCTGACTGTCGTGCACATCGACCTGTGCGGGCCGTTCCGTGTGGCTGCCAAAGACGGCAGCTTGTACTTCCTGCTGCTGAAGGACCGCAAGACCCGCTTCGTGTGGGTGAGGCCGGTCGCCAAGAAGTCGGACGTGCTGCTGGAGTTCCAGAAGTGTCTGGTGTTGGTGGAAAGGCAGACGAAGAAGTCGGTGCTGCAGTTGCGCTCGGACCGAGGAGGGGAGTTCCTCGGGAAGAAGTTCACCGACTTCGTGGACGACAAGGGGATCGTCCACGACCTGACCTGTCCGTACACCCCGCAGCAGAACGGCATGGCGGAGCGGGAGATGAGGACGGTGGTGGAGTCCGTGTGGACGATGCTGCTGCACATGGGCGTGCAGCACCACTGGTGGCACCTCGCTCTGCGACCGGCCGTATGGGTCCGCAATTGCCTTGAGCGGTCGACGCTGCCGCCGGGGTCGACGCCGTATCAACTGCTGACCGGGCACAAGCCCGACTTGTCGATGGCGCGGGTGTGGGGCTGCATGGCGCAGTTCCTTGTCCCCGAGCAGCAGCGTGGTGGGAAGCTGAAGCCGAAGGCCAGGTGGGGCCTTCACCTTGGCATGTCGGCGGCGAGCAAGGGCTGGGAGCTCCTCGACGTTGACGCCAACCGGGTGGTCACCACGTCGGACGTGGTGTTCTACGAGGAGATGTCGCTGGCCGAGTGGAAGTTGGAGCACGGGCCGGAGTCCAGCCGCCCTCGTCCACCCTGCCCTCTGACACCTCGTCGGCGACGCTACCCCTACTGGCCGAGGTCGGTGAGCTTGCTGCTGAGGACGTCGAGGACGTCCGCCCCCCTACCCCTCTCCCTACGACCCCTGCCCCTCCCCTCGTGGCCGACCTGCGTAGGCTGACCTCGGTGTCGGCCTCCGGCGATGAGGGGAGTCGTGGGACGTCGCCTTCGGTTCCGGCCAAGAGCATCGCCGGTGGCCGACGTGACGAGGGGCAGGTCGACATGGGATTGAAGTTGACGTTGACAGGGGAGGAGCAGGTCGAGGAGGCTCAGCCGAGAGGGGAGCAGGCAGCCGTGAAGCCGACTACGGAGCAGTCGGCGACCGGGCAGTCGGCAGGGGAGCCGACCAAAGGGGAGAGGTCGACCAGGAAGTCGACCGAGGTGCAGCAGGACGACGAGGACAGCGAAGACGGTGACACCGGGGAGTCCACCGAGAGCGACGTGGTGGAGGTTCGGCCGGAACCCCGGAAGTCAGATCGAGTTCGGCGGCCGCCAGACCGCTTCGTCCCCGCTGCCTTCACTACGGTCTACGACGTCGACGACGACGACGACCTGCTGTACGACGACGCCGAAGAAGATGAGGATGTTCCGGAGCTCGACCCCGACATGCATGCCAACCCCGAACACCGCTGGGACATCTCGACGATGACGGTGAAGGAGGCGTTGGCGAGCTGGAAGGGCCCGGCGGTGAAGGCCGCCATGGAGGAGGAGATCCGCAGCCTCATCAACATGGGGACTTGGGAGCTGGTCGAACGCCCGCCGGGAGTGAACGTCATGAAGAACCGGTGGGTGTTGACGACGAAGTACCGCGTCGACGACACCGTCGAGCGCGAGAAGGCGAGGCTGGTCGTGAAGGGCTTCACGCAGGTGTACGGCGCCGACTACGACGAGACGTTCGCGCCGGTGGGGAGCTACGTCACGCTGAGGATCTTCCTCAGCATCGTCGCCGTCCTCAACCTCAACCTGATGCAGCTCGACATGAAGAACGCCATCCTGCAGAGCAAGCTCGACCGGGTGCTCTACATGGCTCAGCCGGACTACTTCAACGACGGAACCGGCCGGGTCTGCAAGCTGCTGAAGAGCCTGTATGGGCTAAAGCAGTCGCCGCTGCTGTGGTACTTGGCGCTCAACGACGCGCTGGTCGGCGCCGGGTGGAAGAAGAGCCAGGTCGACGAGGCTCTCTACTTCAAGGTCGGCAAGGACGAAGTGGCTTGCTGGGTGCTGGTCTACGTCGACGACCTGCTCGCCGCCAGCAGTAGCACCGAGATGCTGAAGGAGCTGAAGGAGCTGCTGGAGTCCGCCTTCGAGCTGCGCGAGATTTCGCCAGTGCAGAAGTATCTCGGCCTGGAGATCGTACGCGACAGGTCGGCGGGGAAGCTGTGGCTGCACCAGCAGGGCTACGCCGACAAGCTGCGTTGGCGCTTCATTGACGAGGAGCAGACCGGGCGCACTCCGAAGACGCCGGTCTCGGTCGGCGCCTACGCCGAGCTCACCTTCGACGACGAGGAGGCGCAGGGCGCGACAGGAGGAGGAGTACAGGCAGAAGGTCGGCTCGCTGCAGTTTGCCGAGACGACGACGAGGCCGGACGTCGCCTTCGCCTGCAGCAAGCTGGGGAGCGGCCTCACGGTGAGGAGCGACCAGCACTGGCGCGAGGTCGACCGCTGCCTCGCCTACCTCGCCAACACGCGTGACACCGCCCTGGAGTTCGGCGGTGGACCTGAGTCACTGGAGCTGGTCGGCTACGTGGACGCCGACGACGCCTGTCACAAGCAGAACAGGACGAGCACGGGAGGCTACGTGTTCGTCTACGGAGGGGCCGCGGTCTCCTGGTCGAGCCAGCGCATCAAGTGCGCGACGTTGTCGTCGACCGAGTCGGAGTACGTGGCGGCCACGGAAGCCGGGAAGGAGAGACGTCGACTTCGCTTCCTCCTTGCAGAATTCCAGCAGCTGGATGCTGGGAAGCCGACCGTCCTTCGGGTGGACAACAAGTCGGCCATCACAGTCGCCGAGGGCATGGGGTTGACGGGCAACCTCAAGCACATGGAGCGGCGACAGGCCTGGCTGCAGCACATGGTGAAGCGCGGGAAGTTCTCGCTGCAGTACATCCCGACCGCTGAGCAGCCAGCCGACTTCCTGACGAAGGCGCTGCACTATCCGGCCTTCAACCGGTGCTCCGTCGCAATCGGCCAGGTGCGCTTGGCCGATGTGGGCGACGGCGACGACGACGTGCAGCAGTAGGTGCCATGCCCTCTTGCATGGCTGGTGCGGTGACCGGCGTGCTGTGTGTTGGGTGCACGCCGACGGGCTATTCTCGGAGCTATACTGCCGTGTGGGCTGGGGGCCCAAGCGTGAACGCGGCAGGGGAGTGTCAACGGGAGTTGGGTGTTGGCCCCGTCCTCGCTTGGGAGGAGCCGACTTCGTGGTCGGGTGTGAGGGGAGCGCCCGACCTGCAGCAGTGGGCGAGCTGGTTGACGAGGAGGTCGACCTGCACGAGGGCCACTGCACGGGCGCCGACTTCGGGGTGCCGCCGACTTTGGGGAAGCCGACTTTGGTGGTCGGCTGACGGACTGCTAGTCGACCTGGTGGTTGGTCGACCAGGCCTGCTGGTCGACCTGCTGGTGGTCGACTGGACCTGGTGGTCGACGAAGGAGGGGCCGACGTCGACCTTGACACAGGACGCCGAGCAATTGGGCGTCGAGTAGCGGGGCGTCAACTTCGGGACGCCGACTTCGGGTGGCCGACGTGGGTGGTCGGCCGACAACTGCGCTGGTCGGCGAGGAGCTGTTCGACCAGGAGTGACGTCGACCTGGAGGGGGTCGACCGAGGGTGTGGTCGGCCTGGTGAGGTCGACTGGAGGTGGCCGTCGACTTGGGAGGTTGATGGGCACGTACGGGAGCTGCTGGTCGACGTGGTTGCCCAGTCGATCAGGTTACCTGGGCTACGAAGTGCTGCGGAGGAGTGCGACGGTCGCCTAGGCGAAGTTGGCGAGCCCGACCTCAGGGGTGGTATTTCGAGGTCGTCGTGGCGGATCAGAAGCAGTCGTCAGCGAGAGGTTGGCGTGCTGTGTGCGCTGTGCAGGTGACGGAGCTCTGCACGCCAATCATCTGCGCGCACCTGCGAAGCGGGTGCACTGCTGTTCTGCGTGAGCAACGCTGGCACGCCGTCAAACTGCGACGTTGGCACGCCGTCGACCTTGCACTGCTGGAACGCGGTCGACCAAGCTGTGCTGGCAGTTGGCCGACCTGAATGCTAGCTGTGATGTAGTCTTGCATTGCCAACTTCATTGTATCATTGTTGTCAACCTTTCTCCAGTGAAACTCTTGCCAAATTCCCTTGTGAACTAGCAAGCAGTGTGAGCACTAGGAAACCGACTAAGGACCAAGGAACGCAGAGATCACACGAGCACCCGTGCCTAGCCCGTAGTCTAGCTCCCGTTGCAGTAGTTATCTCCGCACTTCCATCACCCCTCCCCATTCTCCCTCTTTCCATCACCCCGCCCCATTCTCCCTCTTTCCATCATCCCGCCCCATTCTCCCTCTTTCCATCACCCCGCCCCATTCTCCCTCTTTCCATCACCTCGCCACATTCTCCCTCTTTCCATCACCCTCCCCTATTCTCCCTGTTTCCATCACCCTACCCCATTCTCACTGTTTCCATCACCCCGCCCCATTCTCCCGCTTTCCATCACACCACCCCATTCTCCCGCTTTCTATCACACCACCCCTTTCTCCCGCTTTCCATCAACCCGCCCCATTTTCCCTCTTTCCATCACCCCGCCCCATTCTCCCGCTTTCCATCACCCCGCCCCATTCTCCCGCTTTCCATCACCCCGCCCCATTCTCCCGCTTTCCATCTCACCGCCCCATTCTCCTGCTTTCCATCACCCTGCCCTATTCTCCCGTTTTCCATCACCCCGTCCCATTCTCCCTCTTTCCATCACCCCGCCCCATTCTCCCGCTTTCCATCACCCCGCTCCATTCTCCCGCTTTCCATCACCCTGCCCAATTCTCCCTCCTTCCTGTCAACGGGAGTTGGGTGTTGGCCCCATCCTCGCTTGGGCGGAGCCGACTTCGTGGTCGGGTGTGAGGGGAGCAGCCGACCTGCAGCAGTGGGCGAGCTGGTTGACGAGGGCCACTGCACGGGCACCGACTTCGGGGTGGCGCCGACTTTGGGGAAGCCGACTTTGGTGGTCGGCTAACGGACTGCTAGTCGACCTGGTGGTTGGTCGACCAGGCTTGCTGGTCGACCAGCTGGTGGTCGACTGGACCTGGTGGTCGACGAAGGAGGGGCCGACGTCGACCTCAACACAGGACGCCGGGCAATTGGGCGTCGAGTAGCGGGGCGTCAACTTCGGGACGCCGACTTCGGGTGGCCGACGTGGGTGGTCGGCCGACAACTGCGCTGGTCGGCGAGGAGCTGGTCGACCAGGAGTGACGTCGACCTGGAGGGGGTCGACCGAGGGTGTGGTCGGCCTGGTGAGGTCGACTGGAGGTGGCCGTCGACTTGGGAGGTTGATGGGCACGTACGGGAGCTGCTGGTCGACGTGGTTGCCCAGTCGACCAGGTTACCTGGGCTACGAAGTGCTGCGGAGGAGTGCGATGGTCGCCTAGGCGAAGTTGGCGAGCCCGACCTCAGGGGTGGTATTTCGAGGTCGTCGTGGCGGATCAGAAGCAGTCGTCAGCGAGAGGTTGGCATGCTGTGTGCGCTGTGCAGGTGACGGAGCTCTGCACGCCAATCATCTGCGCGCACCTGCGAAGCGGGTGCACTGCTGTTCTGCGTGAGCAACGCTGGCACGCCGTCAAACTGCGACGTTGGCACGCCGTCGACCTTGCACTGCTGGAACGCGGTCGACCAAGCTGTGCTGGCAGTTGGCCGACCTGAATGCTAGCTGTGATGTAGTCTTGCATTGCCAACTTCATTGTATCATTGTTGTCAACCTTTCTCCAGTGAAACTCTTGCCAAATTGCCTTGTGAACTAGCAAGCAGTGTGAGCACTAGGAAACCGACTAAGGACCAAGGAACGCAGAGATCACACGAGCACCCGTGCCTAGCCCGTAGTCTAGCTCCCGTTGCAGTAGTTACCTCCGCACTTCCATCACCCCTCCCCATTCTCCCTCTTTCCATCACCCCGCCCCATTCTCCCTCTTTCCATCATCCCGCCCCATTCTCCCTCTTTCCATCACCCCGCCCCATTCTCCCTCTTTCCATCACCTCGCCACATTCTCCCTCTTTCCATCAACCTGCCCTATTCTCCCTGTTTCCATCACCCTACCCCATTCTCACTGTTTCCATCACCCCGCCCCATTCTCCCGCTTTCCATCACACCACCCCATTCTCCCGCTTTCTATCACACCACCCCTTTCTCCCGCTTTCCATCACCCCGCCCCATTTTCCCTCTTTCCATCACCCCGCCCCATTCTCCCGCTTTCCATCACCCCGCCCCATTCTCCCGCTTTCCATCACCCCGCTCCATTCTCCCGCTTTCCATCACCCCGCCCAATTCTTCCTCTTTCCATCACCCCTCCCCATTCTCCCTCTTTCCATCACCCCGCCCCATTCTCCCGCTTTCCATCACCCCGCCCCATTCTCCCTCTTTCCATCACCCCGCCCCATTCTCCCGCTTTCCACCACCCAGCTCCATTCTCCCGCTTTCCATCACCCCGCCCAATTCTCCCTCTTTCCATCACCCCTCCCCATTCTCCCTCTTTCCATCACCCTGCCCCATTGTCCCTCTTTCCATCACCCCGCCCCATTCTCTCGCTTTCCATCACACCACCCCATTCTCCCGCTTTCCATCACCACGTCCCATTTTCCCTCTTTCCATCACCCCGCCCCATTCTCCCGCTTTCCATCACCCCGCCCCATTCTCCCGCTTTCCATCACCCCGCTCCATTCTCCCGCTTTCCATCACCCCGCCCAATTCTCCCTCTTTTCATCACCCCTCCCCATTCTCCCTCTTTCCATCACCCCGCCCCACTCTCCCGCTTTCCATCACCCCGCCCTATTCTCCCTCTTTCCATCACCCCGCCCCATTCTCCCGCTTTCCATCACCCCGCCCCATTCTTCCTCTTTCCATCACCCCGCCCCATTCTCCCGCTTTCCATCACCCCGCCCCATTCTCCCTCTTTCCATCACCCTGCCCCATTCTCCCTCTTTCCATCACCCCGCCCTATTCTCCTGCTTTCCATCACCCCGCCCCATTCTCCCGCTTTCCATCACCCCGCCCCATTCTCCCGCTTTCCATCACCCCGCCCCTATCTCCCGCTTTCCATCACCCCGCTCCATTCACCCGCTTTCCATCACCCCGCCCCATTCTACCGCTTTCCGTCACCCCACCCCATTCTCCCTCTTTCCATCACCCCGCCCCATTCTCCCTCTTTCCATCACCCCGCCCCATTCTCCCGCTTACCATCACCCCGCCCCATTCTCCCTCTTTCCATCACCCCGCCCCAATTTCCCTCTTTCCATCACCCCGCCCCATTCTCCCACTTTCCATCACCCTGCCCCATTCTCCCTCTATCCATCACCCCGCCCAATTCTACCTCTTTCCATCACCCCGTCCCATTCTCCCGCTTTCCATCACCCCGCCCCATTCTCCCTCTTTCCATCAACTCGCCCCATTCTCCCGCTTTCCATGACCCCGCGCCATTCTCCCGCTTTCCATCACCCCGCTCCATTCTCCCGCTTTCCATCAACCCGCCCAATTCTCCCTCTTTCCATCACCCCTCCCCATTCTCCCTCTTTCCATCAGCCCGCCCCATTCTCCCGCTTTCCATCACCCCGCCCCATTCTCCCTCTATCCATCACCTCGGCCCATTCTACCACTTTCCATCACCCCGCCCCATTCTCCCACTTTCCATCACCCCGCTCCATTCTCCCGCTTTCCATCACCCCGCCCATTTCTCCCGATTTGCATCACCCCGCCCCATTCTCCCGCTTTCCATCACCCCGCTCCATTCTCCCTCTTTCCATCACCCCGCCCCATTCTCCCTCTTTCCATCACCTTGCCCTATTCTCCTGCTTTCCATCACCCTGCCCCATTCTCCCTCTTTCCATCACCCCGCCCCATTCTCCCGCTTTCCATCACCCCGCCCCATTCTCCCTATTTCCATCACCCCGCCCCATTCTCCCTCTTTCCATCACCCCGCCCCATTCTCCCGCTTTCCATCACCCCGCCCCATTCTCCCTCTATCCATCACCCCGCCCCATTCTACCACTTTCCATCACCCCGCCCCATTCTCCCGCTTTCCATCACCCCGCCCAATTCTCCCTTTTTCCATCAACCCTCCCTATTCTCCCACTTTCCATCACCCCGCCCCATTCTCCCGCTTTCCATCACCCCGCCCCATTCTCCTGCTTTCCATCACCCCGCCCCATTCTCCCGCTTTCCATCACCCTGCCCCATTCTCCCGCTTTCCATCACCCCGCCCCATTCTCCCGCTTTCCATCACCCCGCCCCATTCTCCCTCTTTCCATCACCCCGCCCCGTTCTCCCGCTTTCCATCACCCCGCCCCGTTCTCCCGCTTTCCATCGCCCCGCCCCATTCTCCCGCTTTCCATCACCCCGCCCCATTCTCCCGCTTTCCATCACCCCGCCCCATTCTCCCTCTTTCCATCACCCCACCCCATTCTCCCGATTTGCATCAACCCGCCCCATTCTCCCGCCTTCCATCACCCTGCCCCATTCTCCCTCTTTCCATCACCCCGCCCCATTCTCCCGCTTTCCATCACCCCGCCCCATTCTCCCTCTTTCCATCACCCCGCCCCATTCTCCCGCTTTCCATCACACCACCCCATTCTCCCGCTTTCCATCACCACGCCCCATTTTCCCTCTTTCCATCACCCCGCCCCATTCTCCCGCTTTCCATCACCCCGCCCCATTCTCCCGCTTTCCATCACCCCGCTCCATTCTCCCGCTTTCCATCAACCCGCCCAATTCTCCCTCTTTCCATCACCTCTCCCCATTCTCCCTCTTTCCATCACCCCGCCCCATTCTCCCGCATTCCATCACCCCGCCCCATTCTCCCGCTTTCCATCACCCCGCCCCATTCTCCCGCTTTCCATCACCCCGCCCCATTCTCCCTCTTTCCATCACCCCGCCCTATTCTCCTGCTTTCCTTCACCCCTCCCCATTCTCCCGCTGTCCATCACCCCACCCCATTCTCCCGCTTTCCATCACCCCGCCCCATTCTCCCGCTTTCCATCACCCCGCCCCATTCTCCCTCTTTCCATCACCCCGCCCCATTCTCCCTCTTTCCATCACCCCGCCCCATTCTCCCTCTATCCATCACCCCGCCCAATTCTTCCTCTTTCCATCACCCCGCCCCATTCTCCCGATTTCCGTCACCCCGCCCCATTCTCCCTCTTTCGATCACCCCGCCCCATTCTCCCTCTTTCCTTCACCCTGACCCATTCTCCCGCTTTCCATCACCCCGCCCCATTCTCCCGCTTTCCATCACCCCGCCCCATTCTCCCTCTTTCCATCACCCCGCCCCATTCTCCCTCTTTCCATCACCTGTCCCTATTCTCCTGCTTTCCATCACCCTGCCCCATTCTCCCTCTTTCCATCACCCCGCCCCATTCTCCCGCTTTCCATCACCCCGCCCCATTCTCCCTCTTTCCATCACCCCGCCCCATTCTCCCTCTTTCCATCACCCCGCCCCATTCTCCCGCTTTCCATCACCCCGCCCCATTCTCCCTCTATCCATCACCCCGCCCCATTCTACCACTTTCCATCACCCCGCCCCATTCTCCCGCTTTCCATCACCCCGCCCAATTCTCCCTTTTTCCATCAACCCTCCCTATTCTCCCACTTTCCATCACCCCGCCCCATTCTCCCGCTTTCCATCACCCCGCCCCATTCTCCTGCTTTCCATCACCCCGCCCCATTCTCCCGCTTTCCATCACCCTGCCCCATTCTCCCGCTTTCCATCACCCCGCCCCATTCTCCCGCTTTCCATCACCCCGCCCCATTCTCCCTCTTTCCATCACCCCGCCCCATTCTCCCGCTTTCCATCACCCCGCCCCGTTCTCCCGCTTTCCATCGCCCCGCCCCATTCTCCCGCTTTCCATCACCCCGCCCCATTCTCCCGCTTTCCATCACCCCGCCCCATTCTCCCGCTTTCCATCACCCCGCTCCATTCTCCCGCTTTCCATCACCCCGCCCAATTCTCCCTCTTTTCATCACCCCTCCCCATTCTCCCTCTTTCCATCACCCCGCCCCACTCTCCCGCTTTCCATCACCCCGCCCTATTCTCCCTCTTTCCATCACCCCGCCCCATTCTCCCGCTTTCCATCACCCCGCCCCATTCTCCCTCTTTCCATCACCCCGCCCCATTCTCCCGCTTTCCATCACCCCGCCCCTTTCTCCCTCTTTCCATCACCCTGCCCCATTCTCCCTCTTTCCATCACCCCACCCCATTCTCCCGCTTTCCATCGCCCCGCCCCATTCTCCCGCTTTCGATCACCCCGCCCCATTCTCCCGCTTTCCATCACCCCGCTGTTGGATGCACGTCATTCTGAGTGCATGTCATCCTAACGTCCTGCCGAGTGCTCGTGCTATTTGTGCTTGCATGATTTGCATGAGCGTATGTCATTGTGCATGGCTGTTGGATATTATCATCTCTGTGTTTTTCTCCAAGTCTAACTGCTTGATCATGCAGGAGAAATCCAGAGCTTTCCAACGATACCAAGATCGCCTTATTCCGACCAAGATCGCCCAAGTTACAAGATTTCCAAGATTTGGATTTCTTATTACCTTTTTGGGGTTATTACTAATTTGGGTGATTACTTGGGACATGACTATAAAGGGATCTTTGGTTGGGTGGTTAGGAAGCCAACTTTGACTTTTGGATTGGGGTGGCTAGAAGTTTCTAGCATGGGTTGCAAATGTTGCAACACCTAGGCAAAATCCAACTAGATTGGATTTTGCATGTGACACCTCAAGGACCTCATGATGAGGGTTGCATCCTTGCTGCTAGGAAGGTTCTTACCATCCTTCCCTAGCTCTTGGAGAACCCCTTCCCTCTCATGGTTCTCTTGGAGGTCCCCAACTCCAACTTCCATATGCTCTAATGCTTGTACTTCCTCCACCATTCTAGTCATGCGGCTGCTGGACGTTTTTACTTTGTTCTCACTCTATAGACCATCTTAACGACTGATTCAACTTGGAGATGGTAGCTAAGTATAAGGCGCAACTTCCTACCGAGCGGATTTGCGTTTAGTTGAGTAATGAGTTCGTCGTAAGCTCTCAAAGTGACGGATCCTGAACAACAAGTGGTATCAGAGCGGGTAGTCGACTTTGAGACGACGAATCGTCGTGAATTCTCAACCAATGTTGTCGAGTGAGACCATTTTCTAGTAGCTCGGCTCGCGAACTTTCGATTGGTGGCCACATCGCGTTCTAACTCGAAGTATTCAGTCCGCGACGGTGATTTGCGTAGAATCGAAATTTCTGGCAGAATTCTCTCCAAACGATTTCTCAAGTTTCCACCGTTCATAAGGCCTCAATATAGTTGGTACGAACTCTGGAGGTGCTAGTGGCGAGATGGATAGAAGTAGAGAGGCTGGAGATCAAGGGGGAGTTGCTGGTGGAGGAGTGGGGACTCACCAATCAGCCAACCCTACGCTACCTACTTCTTCTACACCATCTCCTACTACCGTGGATCCTGTGAAAGCTTTCTCTATTGAGAAATTCATGGGGGAGGACTACGAGCACTGGAGTTTTCGCATGAGGCTGATGTATACCCAATACAAGCTATTGGATTTGGTGGAGGGAAAGGAGAAGATGCCGGAGGCCGCGGAGCTGAAAGGAGCGTGGATGAAGCGATCGTTCGACGCGTACATGCTCATGGTGCAAGCGGTGGGCGGACGGCAACTTGACCACATCAAGGACCTCTTGGGTGATCCAGAGTGTGGCCCCAAGGCTTGGAGGAAGCTTCTGGATGTGCACTCACCGACACATGCTACCGGCATCGTGCTACTCGCGCGGCGGCTGCGCGACATCAAGTTCGTTGATGGAGAGCCGATGCAACCGGTGTTGGATGAGATGCGCGACATCTTCACGAAGCTCCAAGGAGGCGGTGTGGTGTACCCGGAGCTCGTGCAATGCGTGGAGATCGTGATACGGCTGCCGGAGTCATGGTCTGCCCTAGCGACCAACCTCAACTCCCAACAACCCCAATGGAGCGTGGATTACATTCGCGCGCGCATCCTAGAGGAGGACCTGCGGAGGCGGAGTGTGGAGCGCTTGGAGGAGGGGGCTGGCTATGGATTTGGAGGTGGAAAGAGTGGCTTCAAGAAGAAGTGGAAGGGCAAGAACAAGGATAACCCTAAGGAGGATGGCGTCGGGGGTCAAGGGGAGGTGTGCTTCTATTGCAAGAAGCGCGGACATCGTTGGCGGAAGTGCTACCAACGACCCAAGGATTGGACCCCGCCTTCATCAAGCAACCAGCGTGGTGGCACAAGGAGTGGGGGAGTCATGGGAGCTAGTGGAGAGGAGAAGGATGAGGAGAAAGGCGGCAAATCTGAGGAGCGGAAGGCCGGGTTCTTCTTCTTCGTGAACGAAGGCGCAACTGACCACGCTATGGCTGCCAAGGTTCTCCTACACCCCCTCACCCATTGGGTGATTGACTCCGGGAGCTCTTGGCACATGACTCCCCGTGCGGACCTACTTGATGAGATTCAGCCCGCACCCATCTCTACAGTCACATCCGCGACGGGCGCCAAGGCCAAGGTCATGGGCATGGGATGCGCCAAGTTCATGGGAGCGGATGGAGAGCTCGTGGGGCTGAAGAACGTGCTGTGGGTGCCGGACTTGTGCGCGAACCTGATATCTACCGGCCGGTTGGGAGATGCGGGTGTGAACACCGAGACGATTGGCTCGGAGCGCTATCGTGCCTACAACGATGAGCGGCTGATTTGGGACCTGCAGTGGAAAGGGGATATCCACAAGCGGATGTGGCAGATCCCGGTCCTCCCTTGGCGGAAATCGGGCAAGGCGGCAATGGCGGCATCTATGGAGGAGAGCGTTACCGAGGAGGAGCAGCAAGGTGTGCAAGGAGAGGAGCTGATTGGAGGAAGCGCGGCGGTGAAGGCGTCGGCTACCTCGGGCCAAGCGGATTGGGAGACTTGGCATCGGCGGCTCGCACACGTGGCTGTTTCTACACTAGAGGTGATGCACAAGGAGAAGTGCGTGCATGGGCTGCAACTGCAAGGAGATGGCATTCACTATGGCAGCTGCGAGGCGTGCATGCAAAACAAGTTTGCGCGGTTCCCGTTTCCACGAGCGGAGGGATCAGCGAAGGCACCATTGGAGGTGGTGCACATGGACCTGGTGGGTCCTATGAGGACTGAGGGGACTGGGGGAGTGCTCTACTTCCTCACCATGGTGGACGAATGGAGCCGTTTCACGTGGGCGCGTCCCTTGTCCAAGAAGAGCGATGCTGCAGCGGCAATCAAGGAGGATTGGTTGCCGATGGTGGAGCGGCAAGCGATGCGGCTGGTGAAGGTGCTGAGGAGCGACCGAGGTGGAGAGTTCCTTGGAGCGGAATTCACCAAGTTCCTCAAGAGAAATGGCATCCGACATCAGCTGACCTGCCCTGGAACACCGCAGCAGAACGGCATTGCTGAGCGTGCCAACCGGACCATTGGGGAGGCGGCTAAGACCTTGTTGGGGGCTGCTGGGATGCCGTACAAGTTCTGGCCTGATGCTGTTCGCCATGTCATCACGGTCAAGAACAGGGTCTTGACGCATGTTGGTGACAAGCATTGGGTGCCGTACGAGCGTTGGCTTGGGAAGAAGCCATCTATTGACATGCTGCGTGTGTGGGGCTGCATGGGGCTTGTGATGGTGCCTAAGGAGCAGAGGCACAAGCTGGAAGTTGCTGCTGTGTGGGCTGTCCATCTTGGGATGGCTCCTGACTCGAAGGGGTGGCTAATGTGGGACCCCAAGAGCAAGAAGTCGCTGGTCAGCCGTGATGTCAAGTTTGTGGAGGACGTCATGTACAAGGACTGGCAGCAGCAGCAGCAGGTGCATATTGGCTTGCGCCTGCAGGAGATTGAGCGGTCTGCAGTGGAGGAGGTTCAGCTGCACCTTGAGGATCTCCCTGGGTCAGAGCTGACCAGTGATCACAGTGGCGGTGGTGAGCAGCAAGGCGCTGGTCCTACTGCGGAGGAGGGGTTGGAGGATGAGTCGGCACGTGTGGACTCACCATCTCAGCCCGAGCCTGCTGCAAACACCAAGGTCACCAAGAGGAGTGTGCAGAGAGGAGCTTCACCACATGGGCAGCAGACTGTAACCCGTGAGAAGAGAGTGGCAGCAGCACCCTCAAGGCTGAAGTATAGCCGTTTGGGAGGACCCAAGCAAGGTGCCGTGGCGGTTCAGGCGGATGAGGGAGAGGATGAGGAGATGGCGTTCTGTTTCTTCACACCCTTGCCTGGAGAACCAGCCACAGTGGAGGAGGCACTTAGTGGACCCCAGAAGGAGGAGTGGAAGGCTGCCATGGATGCAGAGTTCAACAGTCTCATTGAGAATGGGACTTGGGAGCTTGTTGAGTTACCCGAGGGGCGACGGCCGATCAGCAGCAAGTGGGTCTTCAAAGTGAAGAGTGGTGCTGATGGTGCGCTGGAGCGGTTCAAGAGCCGTTTGGTCGCCAAGGGGTTTCAGCAGAAGGAGAAGGTCGACTTTGGGGAGATCTTCGCTCCCGTTGCTAAGCCATTGACACTGAGGACTTTGATGGCTGGCGCAGCTGTGAAGGGATGGCACGTGAAGCAGATGGATATCACCACTGCATTCCTCAATGGAATACTGCTGGAGGATATCTACATGGCGCAGCCCGACGGCTATGAGGATGGGACCAGCCGGGTGTGCAAGCTTAAGAAGGCCATCTATGGCCTTAAGCAAGCACCCAGGTGTTGGTACGAGAAGCTGGAGGAGGTGCTGCTGGGTGGAGGCTTTAAGACGTCCCAGGCGGATCACAGCTTGTTTCTGCTTGGAGAGGGGGAGCAACTGCTTTTGCTGCTGGTGTATGTCGACGACATACTGCTGTTCTCACCTTCCATGGAGCAGATTGAGAGGACACAGAAGCTGCTGATGGACAACTTCAAGTGCAAGATGCTGGGGGATGTCCACTACTACTTGGGGCTGCAGATTGAGAGGGATGTTGAGAGGAGGTGGCTGAAGGTGCATCAGTCACACTACATCTCTGGTGTCATGGAGCGGTATGGTGTGACTGGGGGTTGCACTGTGATGACACCGTTCCCTGCAGGCTTCAAATTGAAGAAGGCAGCAGAGGAGGATGATGTGCTTGAGGATGAGCAGCAGAATGAGTACCAGTCACTCATTGGGAGTGTGATGTATGCAGCTGTGCATACGCGACCTGATGCTTCATTCGGAGTGGGGCAGCTGGCCAGAGTTGTGCAACTGCCCACTGTGGAGCAGTTGGAGGTGGCAAAGCGCTTGGTGCGCTACCTTGGATCAACGGCATCTGCTGGTGTTCAGTTTTCAGCTGGCGGCCAGCTGAAACAGATTGGAGCAGATGGGGTCACGCCTGGTACCTTGAAGCTGTCGTGCTTCACCGACGCCACATGGGCCTCAGAGGATGAGGATCAGTCATCGGTTGGCAGCTTTGTGTGCATGGTCGGAGGTGGACCAGTGAGCGGGAGGTCCAAGAAGCAGAGTGAGATTGCTCAGTCTTCCGGAGAGGCAGAGTACATGGCGATGTACCATGCCATCAAGGAGATCGTGCTCCTGAGGAAGCTGCTGGAGGACATGGGAGCTGAACAGGAGGGACCTACACCACTTTTCTCCGACAGCGAGGCTGCTATTGGCATGGCCAATAATCCTATCCTGAATGGGCTGAACAAGCACATGAAGATTAAGTGGCACTGGGTGAGGCAGATGGTGAAGGAGGGAGCTGTTGAGCTTCACCATGTGAAGGCTAGCAAGCAGGCGGCAGATTTTCTCACCAAGAGACTTCCCGAGAGCGCACATTGGAAGTGTGCTAAGATGTGTGGCATGGCATTGCACTAGTGTGGGCAGCAGTGTCATGAATGCAAGTGATTGTGTGCATGAGACTATGCATGTGTGTGATTGTGTGTGCATGCAGTCCATTAGTCTGAGGGGGAGTTTGTTGGATGCACGTCATTCTGAGTGCATGTCATCCTAACGTCCTGCCGAGTGCTCGTGCTATTTGTGCTTGCATGATTTGCATGAGCGTATGTCATTGTGCATGGCTGTTGGATATTATCATCTCTGTGTTTTTCTCCAAGTCTAACTGCTTGATCATGCAGGAGAAATCCAGAGCTTTCCAACGATACCAAGATCGCCTTATTCCGACCAAGATCGCCCAAGTTACAAGATTTCCAAGATTTGGATTTCTTATTACCTTTTTGGGGTTATATCTAATTTGGGTGATTACTTGGGACATGACTATAAAGGGATCTTTGGTTGGGTGGTTAGGAAGCCAACTTTGACTTTTGGATTGGGGTGGCTAGAAGTTTCTAGCATGGGTTGCAAATGTTGCAACACCTAGGCAAAATCCAACTAGATTGGATTTTGCATGTGACACCTCAAGGACCTCATGATGAGGGTTGCATCCTTGCTGCTAGGAAGGTTCTTACCATCCTTCCCTAGCTCTTGGAGAACCCCTTCCCTCTCATGGTTCTCTTGGAGGTCCCCAACTCCAACTTCCATATGCTCTAATGCTTGTACTTCCTCCACCATTCTAGTCATGCGGCTGCTGGACGTTTTTACTTTGTTCTCACTCTATAGACCAACTTAACGACTGATTCAACTTGGAGATGGTAGCTAAGTATAAGGCGCAACTTCCTACCGAGCGGATTTGAGTTTAGTTGAGTAATGAGTTCGTCGTAAGCTCTCAAAGTGACGGATCCTGAACAACACCCGCCCCATTCTCCCGCTTTCCATCACCCCGCCCCATTCTCCCTCTTTCTATCACCCCGCCGTATTCTCACTTTTTCCATCACCCCGCCCCATTCTCCCGCATTCCATCACCCCGCCCCATTCTCCCGCTTTCCATCACCCCGCCCCTTTCTCCCGCTTTCCATCACCCCGCCCCATTCTCCCTCTTTCCATCACCCTGCCCCATTCTCCCTCTTTCCATCACCCCGCTCCATTCTCCCGCTTTCCATCACCCCGCCCAATTCTCCCTCTTTCCATCACCCCTCCCCATTCTCACTCTTTCCATCACCCCGCCCCACTCTCCCAATTCCATCAACCCGCCCTATTCTCCCTCTTTCCATCACCCCGCCCCATTCTCCCGCTTTCCATCACCCCGCCCCATTCTCCCTCTTTCCATAACCCCGCCCCATTCTCCCGCTTTCCATCACCCCGCCCCATTCTCCCTCTTTCCATCACCCTGCCCCATTCACCCTCTTTCCATCACCCCACCCCATTCTCCCGCTTTCCATCGCCCCGCCCCATTCTCCCGCTTTCCATCGCCCCGCCCCATTCTCCCGCTTTCCATCACCCCGCCCCATTCTCCCGCTTTCCAACACCCCGCCCCATTCTCCCTCTTTCCATCACCCTGCCGTATTCTCCCTCTTTCCATCACCCCGCCCCATTCTCCCTCTTTCCATCACCCCGCCCCATTCTCCCGCTTTCCATCACCCCGCCCCATTCTCCCTCTTTCCATCACCCTGCCCCATTCTCCCTCTTTCCATCACCCCACCCCATTCTCCCGCTTTCCATTGCCCCGCCCCATTCTCCCGCTTTCCATCACCCCGCCCCATTCTCCCTCTTTCCATCACCCCGCCCCATTCTCCCGCTTTCCATCACCCCGCCCCATTCTCCCTCTTTCCATCACCCCGCCGTATTCTCCCTCTTTCCATCACCCCGCCCCATTCTCCCGCTTTCCATCACCCCGCCCCATTCTCCCGCTTTCCATCACCCCGCCCCATTCTCCCGCTTTCCATCACCCCGCCCCATTCTCCCGCTTTCCATCACCCCGCCCCATTCTCCCACTTTCCATCACCCCGCTCCATTCTCCGGCTTTCCATCACCCCGCCAAATTCTCCCTCTTTCCATCACCCCTCCCCATTCTCCCTCTTTCCATCACCCAGCCCCATTCTCCCGCTTTCCATCACCCCGCCCCATTCTCCCTCTTTCCATCACCCCACCCCATTCTCCCTCTTTCCATCACCCCGCCCCATTCTCTCGCTTTCCATCACCCCGCCCCATTCTCCCACTTTCCATCACCCCGCCCCATTCTCCCTCTTTCCATCACCCCGCCCCATTCTCCCGCTTTCCATCACCCCGCTCCATTTTCCCGCTTTCCATCACCCCGCCCCATTCCCCCTGTCTCCATCACCCCGCCCCATTCTCCCTGTTTCCATCACTCCTCCCCATTCTCCCTCTTTCCATCACCCCGCCCCATTCACCCTCTTTCCATCACCCCGCCCCATTCTCCCTCTTTCCATCACCCTGCCCCATTCCCCCTCTATCCATCACCCCGCCCCATTCTCCCTGTCTCCATCACCCCGCCCCATTCTCCCTGTTTCCATCACCCCGCCCCATTCTACCCCTTTCTATCACCCCGCCCCGTTCTCCCGCTCTCAATCACCCCGCCCCGTTCTCCCCCTTTCAATCAACCCTCCCCAGTCTCCCTCTTTCCACCACCCCGCCCCGTTCTCCCTCTTTCCATCACCCCGCCCCATTCTCCAGCTTTCCATCACCCCGCCCCATTCTCCCGCTTTCCATCACCCCGCTCCATTCTCCCGCTTTCCATCACCCCGCCCAATTCTCCCTCTTTCCATCACCCCTCTCCATTCTCCCTCTTTCCATCACCCCGCCCCATTTTAACGCTTTCCATCACCCCGCCCCATTCTCCCTCTTTCCATCACCCCACCCCATTCTCCCGCTTTCCATCACCCCGCTCCATTCTCCCTCTTTCCACCACCCTGCCCATTCTCCCTGTTTCCATCACCCCTCCCCATTCTCCCTCTTTCCATCACCCCGCCCCATTCTCCCGCTTTCCATCACCCCACCCCATTCTCCCGCTTTCCATCACCCCGCCCCATTCTCCCGCTTTCCATCACCCCGCCCCATTCTCCCGCTTTCCATCACCTTGCCCCGTTCTCCCGCTTTCCATCACCCCGCCCCATTCTCCCGCTTTCCATCACCCCACCCCATTCTCCCGCTTTCTATCACCCCGCCCCATTCTCCCTCTTTCCATCACCGCGCCCGGTTCTCCGGCTTTCAATCACCCCGCCCCATTCTCCCGCTTTCCATCACCCCGCCCCATTCTCCATCCTTCCATCACCCTGCCCCATTCTCCCTCTTTCCATCACCCCGCCCCATTCTCCCGCCTTCCATCACCCAGCCTCACTCTCCCTCTTTACATCACCCCGCCCCATTCTCCCGCTTTCACCCCGCCTTATTCTCCCTCTTTCCATTACCCCGCCCCATTCTCCCTCTTTCCATCACCCCGCCCCGTTCTCCCGCTTTCTATCACCCCGCCCCATTTTCCCTCTTTCCATCACCCCGCCCCATTCTCCCGCTTTCCATCACCCCGCCCCATTCTCCCGCTTTCCATCACCCCGCTCCATTCTCCCGCTTTCCATCACCCCTCAACATTCTCCCTCTTTCCATCACCCCGCCCCATTCTCCTGCTTTCCATCACCCGCCCCATTCTCCCTCTTTCCATCACCCCGCCCCATTCTACTGCTTTCCATCACCCCGTCCCATTCTCCCGCTTTCCATCACCCCGCCATTCTCCCGCTTTCCATCACCCCGCCCAATTTTCCCTCTTTCCATCACCCCGCCCCATTCTCCCTCTTTCCATCACCCCGCCCCATTCTCCCCCAATCCATCACCCCGCCCCATTTTCACTCTTTCCATCACCCCGTCCCATTCTCCCGCTTTCCATCACCCCGCCCCATTCTCCCGCTTTCCATCACCCCGCTCCATTCTCCCACTTTCCAACACCCCGCCCAATTCTCCCTCTTTCCATCATCCAGCCCCATTCTCCCGCTTTCCATCACCCCGCCTCATTCTCCCTCTTTCCATCACCGCGCCCCATTCTTCCTCTTTCCATCACCCCGCCCCATTCTCTCGCTTTCCATCACCCCGCCCCATTTTCCCGCTTTCCATCACACCGCCCCATTCTCCCGCTTTCCATCACCCCGCTCCATTCTCCCGCTTTCCATCACCCCGCCCAATTCTCCCTCTTTCCATCACCCCTCTCCATTCTCCCTCTTTCCATCACCCCGCCCCATTCTCCCTCTTTCCATCACCCCTCCCCATTCTCCCTCTTTCCATCACCCCGCCCCATTCTCCCTCTTTCCATCACCTCGCCCCATCCTCCCTCTTTCCATCACCCCGCACCATTCTCCTGCTTTCCATCACCCCGTCCCATTCTCCCGCTTTCCATCACCCCGCCCAATTTTCCCTCTTTGCATCACCCCGACCCATTCTCCCTCTTTCCATCACCCCGCCCCATTCTCCCCCAATCCATCACCCCTCCCCATTTTCACTCTTTCCATCACCCTGTCCCGTTCTCCCGCTTTCCATCACCCCGCCCCATTCTCCCGCTTTCCATCACCCCGCTCCATTCTCCCGCTTTCCAACACCCCACCCAATTCTCCCTCTTTCCATCACCCCTCCCCAGTCTCCCTCTTTCCATCACCCAGCCCCATTCTCCCGCTTTCCATCAGCCCGCCCCATTCTCCCTCTTTCCATCACCGCGCCCCAATCTCCCTCTTTCCATCACCCCGCCCCATTCTCTCGCTTTCCATCACCCCGCCCCATTCTCCCGTTTTCCATCACACCGCCCCATTCTCCCGCTTTCCATCACCCCGCTCCATTCTCCCGCTTTCCATCAGCCCGCCCCATTCTCCCTCTTTCCATCACCGCGCCCCAATCTCCCTCTTTCCATCACCCCGCCCCATTCTCCCGCTTTCCATCACCCCGCTCCATTCTCCCGCTTTCCATCACCCCGCCCCATTTTCACTCTTTCCATCACCCCGTCCCATTGTCCCGCTTTCCATCACCCCGCCCCATTCTCCCACTTTCCATCACCCCGCTCCATTCTCCCGCTTTCCATCACCCCGCCCAATTCTCCCTCTTTCCATCACCCCTACCCATTCTCCCTCTTTCCATCACCCCGCCCCATTCTCCCGCTTTCCATCGCCCCGCCCCATTCTCCCGCTTTCCCTCACCCCGCCCCATTCTCCCGCTTTCCATCACCCCGCCCCATTCTCCCTCTTTCCATCACCCCGCCGTATTCTCCCTCTTTCCATCACCCCGCCCCATTCTCCCGCTTTCCATCACCCCGCCCCATTCTCCCGCTTTCCATCATCCCACCCCATTCTCCCGCTTTCCATCACCCCGCCCCATTCTCCCGCTTTCCATCACCCCGCCCCATTCTCCCACTTTCCATCACCCCGCTCCATTCTCCGGCTTTCCATCACCCCGCCAAATTCTCCCTCTTTCCATCACCCCTCCCCATTCTCCCTCTTTCCATCACCCAGCCCCATTTTCCATCACCGCGCCCCATTCTCCCTCTTTCCATCACCCCACCCCATTCTCCCTCTTTCCATCACCCCGCCCCATTCTCTCGCTTTTCATCACCCCGCCCCATTCTCCCGCTTTCCATCACCCCGCCCCATTCTCCCTCTTTCCATCACCCCGCCCCATTCTCCCGCTTTCCATCACCCCGCTCCATTTTCCCGCTTTCGATCACCCCGCCCAATTCTCCCTCTTTCCATCACCCCTCCCCATTCTCCCTCTTTCCATCA